TATGGCCCTGGAATCTATACGCATGCGAAATTCCAACAATCTGGTTTGTTTCTTTATAAACCTTGTTGTTTCTACCACATATGTAAACGGGTTGTCAGTCACTGCGCCAGATCCTGTCTCTGACCATCCTTTCTTGGTCTTGCCACTGGACTCAAGTGAGTGAGAGAAGAGAGATTGCGGTTGCTGCAGCGCAGGTCCGCCATCAATAATAAATAATTAATGCGCAAGTCACCGTCTTGGGCCCACTACGCCGTGGGGCACACGGCGGACATGGTCGATACCGACGATCTGTACTGTACGTCTGTACAGGGCAGTCTGTGGATCTTGGGGATGTTAAAGGGCCAAAGTTTGAGAGGTCCAGCAGTACCCCTCGAATCAGCAAACGGATAAGCCAGTTGGACACTCTACCACGGGATATGAAATTTCTGCAATTGAAGTCTTCAATTGTGTCTGCTTGCTTCAATACAATGTCTGTCAACTAGAGGTAAATAGCGGTCCTCTTCTTGAGATTTCTCTTTCTCTTCAGTAAAGAAAATTTTCTTTAACGATTGTTGTTTTTTTCTCGTACTCTACGATGCCCAAAATATCCAGGCAACTATCAGAAGGTCTGACTTAAGTGAGGTTGCAATACTGATCGACACAGGGTAATCCCAAGATACTTTGTACATGACAGAATGGTGGATTTTTAATGTGCAAATTTTTAGCCATCCGGGACGATCACACTTTGGAAGGTGGAAAAAGATGTAGTGCCGATTTTCCATCGCATTTTGATTCCTGCTTAAATTTAATCTTAAAATGTGCATGGATATATTTTCCTACTTCCTCTTTAGGGAAACCAATTTATTCAAGTTTTGAGTTTATTAAAAAGTGTCATGTGAAGCTAAATTTCCTAAGTAGAAGTTATTTTAAAATATTCAATCATGCCTAAAGTGCCGCCGCATATTCATGTTTATTAATGCTGTTTTCGAAGAAAACAACATAGTCTGCAACTGCCGAGAAGAGGTCATAAGCATCGCATAGAAGCCTCTCATTGGGATACAGGATCTATGATATTTCTCAAATAAAGATAATGGAATTTGGTAAAATGAAAGTAATTGTTACAGCGGCTTTGCTTTCAAGTGATACAGGAATCAATAAATTTTTAGAACTGATTGATACTCTTGCATCGAACAACAAAATCAATGAAGAAACAAGATCATATAAACGCATTTTGATATTCAATCAATCTGTGAAATGTGACTGTATTTAAACAAAAACTGAACAAACTTTTACACTGCTCAAGTTTGCGCTCTTTAACAGGGGAGATTTTCGCAGATGACAATAAATTTGCTCGTTTTAGATCGACATGCCAAGGCCTATGAAACATTTTGAGATTAGGTGGCTATTACAGCCTCGTTTGAGTAATCATTTCCGACCGAAATCACGTCTGGAATTTTTTATTTAGAATTTCAAGAGTTTTATTGTTGGCACTTTTTTAAATGCCCCAGATGTTCTCGTGGTTGGACTGGAGAGAACTGCGATGAATGCGTGAAATATCCCGGCTGCCGAAAAGGAGTCTGCGATGACGCCCCCTTTACGTGTCGCTGTCTACCCAACTGGGGAGGACCGTTCTGTGACCAAGGCAAGACCATCGTGCATGTATTTCTGCATTATGTGCAAATCAGTCTGCAGTGGTATCAGCTACAGCGAATGGCCCAGCCACACCACATAATGCTAGCATTTAAACTTACTTTTAGATCTGGACTACTGCCGGCGACATAAGCCCTGTCTGCACGGGGGAATTTGTCAAAATACCAATGCTACACATCCGCAGTTTCGATGCATCTGCCCGCGAGGATACAGAGGAGAAAGATGCGAGGAGAGTAAGTCAGTTTTGGGGTGCTGCAGTCTTCTTTATTTTAATTTGTCCGGGGTAGATGGTGTATACCTGTGGAGAGGAGGTAGAATTAATGTTGGTAAAATACGCTAACGGCAGAGGCTTCTCGTTAGGCGTTTATGTCCACGTGAGCAAAGAAATTGATTAAAGTTAGAATATGCGGTAAATATACTCGACCAGCCAGGCCAGTAAGTGTAGGCGGTAGTTTGCTAACTGAGTGTGGCCTTGCGTAAATTAAGTAGGTGAAAATTTCAAAGAAGCAATCACATTTTTCGTTTAGTTTCTTTCAGTTACAAAAATTGGAGTTCATGGAAAGATATGCATAACGTATCCCTAGAAAATTATCTGTAACTGTAAGCTAGTAATATTCAGAAAAAATGTTGTGCAGACCAACCTGCACTAAATTTCAAAGGGGTAAGTATTCCCGTTTCCCAACCTTAGCAGTAAGTTTAACCCTCCGGCAACAGTAGGTTAGGTGAGTCCCCTCAGCCAGTACTAGCCCCAGGATCGTGTAAAACGGGAATGTCGGTAATGACAAGCGACGAAATGTGGGAAAGAAATATAAAAAAATAATTAAATTTTCGTAACATTTATTCGTATGGACCTATATTCAACAACGAAATTCAGAATGATATCAAAAAATGAACAAAAAGCGACTCTCAACAAATAGAAGGAAATTGAATAACAAAGACACAATAAAACAACTTTTTGCATGTCATTACATGAATGTATTAGTTAACAAATCGTGGGTTAGTTTTCATACCTATAAAATAATAAACTAGACTACACGAGACTATGTACTTTAACCACAGGGCGCTTACATACCCCATCATTAGCTTTAACCCAAATCCCAATTTAATCCTGTCCTTTACCCTGGCTCTAATCTCCATGCACTTTAACGCAAGGTCGCCTATGTAATCGGGGATGCTTATTTCAGTGGCATACAAAAAATATTTGGTTTTCAGAAATAAATTTTGCCAAAAAATGTCCTTTTTGGGCGGTTTTAATGTATAGAATAGGAATTTTCGATATCCTAGTTGAGTGCCATATCAAAGAACTGTTTTTAACTTGTGCCAACTAACTTGAAGTACAATAGAGTGCACCGAAAAAGCATATTTCTTCTCCGAAGATGTTCCTATCAGCAATAGGCGTGTGATCACCTTCCCGTGAACAGGGTAAGCCGTTCTAATGAATCATTTTTGCGTTATTTCATATAGCTTAAAGACGAATTAAATTATTGTTATCTTCAATTTTGTCAGGTAAGCGGATTTGCCTACTATTTGCCTACGATTTGTACTACGTGTTCACGTTTTTCTGAAAAAGTGAGTCCAAGTTAGAGTTACTTAGTAATTCTTCACAAATAAAATAGCTCATAGCAAGTTTTACACTCCAAAAACCTTCTTCTAAAGCAGAGACCCCTGTGTGTTTAAAATATGTTTATTTTATCAACAATGGAGGTTGTATAATAGCACTTGAAGCTTAGTATTCACCAGTCCATTTTTGTAATCAATTTGTTTTTCAGAACTGGACGCATGTGCTCTGAATCCCTGCAAACGCGGAAAGTGCATTCCCAGTCATACGCACGGCTTCCGTTGCGTCTGTTCGGCCGGGTGGCGTGGAAAATACTGTGATGAAAGTAAGTACCCTTCAAGACATTTAACGGCATTCAAACAAGTTTTGTTATCAAAGGTCTTCGTGTCAATCTCCTTCAATGTCCAATTAGACTACGGTTTCGCCCGCCCTAAACAATCATTTCCCGTCTGTGCCCTGTAGACATTGACTTCTGCGACCAGAACAGATGTATGAACGGCGGTACTTGCCAGGACTTGGACGGTGAGGGCTTCCACTGCGAGTGTCTGCCGGGTTTCGAGGGCTCTGTGTGCCAAAGACGCTCTGCCTGCAGCGAATCTCGATGTGTACACGCAAGAGAATGCACCCGACTGGCGACTTCCTCTAACGGCATCAAACACGACTGTGTCTGTCAGGCTGGTTGGACAGGAGAGCTGTGTGACGTTAGTAAGTGACTCCTTTCCGGTTATGTGCGGCTACCTCAAAAGACGAAGTCTGATCACCCCGATGCTTAGTAAACCTATGTCTATAGCTTTATCGTAATGTCTCTAATGCACTAGCTAGTAATCTCTTAACATTTAAGCATTATAGGTTCAAAAGATAGCAACAGGAGTAAGGCCCCACTCCTGCGTTCCACTCTAGCTCAGTCAAGAGTGCGATCTTAGTATGATTTTATCAGGTCATGCACATAAGCTACCTTAGCTTTCCTCTTAGATCTTGGTGGTCATGTATACGATCAAATAATAGACGCTGGATTGAACTTTAGTAAGAGAAGCGGGTTCGCCGAATTCATGAATTAATATCGACGTCTGGTGGCTTGGCATTTGTGTAGGGTTAGTGGGCTGATAAATGGATAGACATGTAGGTCTAGGAAGGGTAACGAATTGAGTCTGCGAGAACTCCAAATGGCTATTCCTACCTTGACAGCATGAAGTCAGCGGTTGGGGGCGGGGGTATTTCAACCCCCCAGGCTCGGGTGAGGCGCCACTTGGTCTGGATGTGACCGGTTGACGACCGCTAGCAAGCCAGAAATGGTCATTCCAGTCTCCCTTGTCTTTGTTGGTAGTACTATCTGCCCATTCCAACTTAGCTAGATTGCAGCTTTTAGAGGTCAAAACATTTTCTGTTGTGGATAATCCATAATTAATATTCGCTACATGCAGGTGTGCCCAAGAACAGAGTTCTCGCGTGCATGTGGAAAGCTTTTTGAAATCCTCCAGTACCATTACTGATGTGATTAAAAATTGGAAGTGTAGGGTGTTGCTATCCCAAATGAAAGCAGAAATGATGAATTTACATACTGGATGAAAGGTTCGGAAGCTTTGTTTAATGATCATTTAACGTGAGGAAGCCCTCCAACTGACTGAAAGCCGGTCAGTCGTGGGGCTTTTTCTGTAATCAAGAAAATTAACGGATTATCTCTGAATCTATCCACTGCACCTTTTCTCTTATTGGATATAATTTAAAAGTATTGATTCGAAAATTGTCTGCTTTTACCGTACACCAGAATATTTTCACGATAGGAAAGCATTTCTGCTTTTATGATGACCAGTTGCATTACTTTTCATCAGAAATTTTTTTTAATTTTAGACATTGACGACTGCATCGATAAGTGTAAAAATGGCGGAAAATGTCGGGTAAGAACAGAAAACAAACCGTTTTTCCAGAAGTTGCTTTACTTATTTTTTGCCTAGTTGCTCTCTGCTTTCACTTTACCGAGGGTAGCTGCCAGCGTTTCTATTTTTAATCATGATTTGAAGGCGATTCTTACGTGTACGCGGTTAGAACAGGGGTCTGCATGAAATGGCCGATCGATGTCCTACATGGAGGATAAACTCTTCTTTCTTGAGCCTCCATTGTAATAATTATTGTGTTTTAAAGCAGACCAACCTGTCATTGCATCGTGGGTTCAGTGGTGTAAGTTGAGTTAATCCAGTCAAAAGGGCCAAAGTCGGAACTTTAACGATTGGACACAAATAGTACCTATGCGGCAGTAAAATTTCTCCATTTACATGTTTGAAGTTACTGGAAGTCTATCTAGGGCCGCCCACACCCCATATATTTGTAGGGCCTTGTGTGATTAATAGTTCCCGAAATGGAAATGATCATCTACTTCAACATTCTAAAAAAGGTTGTCTGTAAACGATGAAATCTCGGGGACAACTATATCGATAGAGTGACACTTCGACCACCCCAAACTGTCGTCCTTTTAATGGGCTTTAAGCCAAATTGACTCGCCTTTCTAAAACCTGATGACCAACCCAATGGACCTTTACCCGAATATGCTAGTAACAATAGAAACAGTTTCGTTAGCTTACCAGTATTTACTCCAAGCTGCCATGCCGTATGATACTACACAGACCATTATGATGAGCAATCGACAGTCTGCTTTCGCCAACTGACTTCTTGGCCCTATGTTTTTTAACGTTGCAAAAATTCCCATCACAGAAATCCGAAGAGCAATTGGCCAGCATACGTATACTTTCAAGAAATTCTCATCAGGCCGTTACATTTATATGGGAGGGGGTTAAAGTGTAAAAGGTAAAATTGTAGGTAAATTACGTTCAACGTTAAAGGCAAATTAATTCAGGGAATAGGGGAGGGGGTTAGGAGTAGTAACAAGTGGCTAATTAAGCGGCAGTTACCCAGCCTATCCAAAAGAATAGAGTAAAACCTCCCGCAATGGCTAGGCAAAGGTGAAATCAGTACCACCATGACCATCAACAGCTTTATTCTAGCGCTCATGGTGGACCCCAACGAAGCCTTCAGGGTGATCTACAAGGTCCCACCGAACTACCCTAAGCCACTGAGTCAGCGCCTGCTAGCAACAGCCGAAGCAACCGCTATCCGGTTGAGGAAGCTGGTTTTGTGTGCGCAAAAGAACCTGCTGCAAGCTCCAAGCTTAGCATGGCCAACGGTCACCTATCTACCGGCATTTTTCCGCGCCTTCTCTCTCCACTCCCCCTCTCCCTAATTGCTGCTTAATTAGCTGCTTGTTGCTACCCCTCACCCCTATTCCCTGGCCCGTAACGTTAATCGTAATTTACCTACAATTTCACCTTTTACACTTTACCCCCTCCCATATAAATGTAACGGCCTGATGAAAATTTATTGAAAGTAATGCTCGCCAATTGATCTTCGGATTCCTATGTGTTTTGTTAAAGAAAGTGAGGCTTTCGAAGGGGGGGGTAATTAGTCCAATC